TATAATTTAATAAATTTAACCTCAAATGGTGAGAGGTATAATTTGAATAGATATTTCTTAAGTTCTACTTCAATGTGCCTTTTAATTTAGCTTAGGACTAAAAGTGGCTATGTAGCCATAGAGAAGCCATAAGAATACAGTAAGTAAAGGATATATACTACTTATAACTTGAAGGATATCTTCTAAAAGCCAAGTACAGCTAGGAAAACGGGTAGAAAAAAAGAAAATCTTAAATTACTCTAGAATCTACCAACAGAAGTCACAGTGGTTGTAGAAAAGTTCACCTCCACCAAATTCAAAGCTCTTTTCAAGTATGTCAGTTCCAGGACAAGGTCTCGAGTTGTTGGGCATCCAAAAATCAAATCCATAGTACACCCTGTTAGACTTCTGGGGTAAAAAAGCCTTGATCTGTTTCATTTTTCAGTATGTGAACGTGACTAAAGTTAAAATGTGTTTTCTCATTTGTAAAAATGGAGAGGGACTACTAGACACTCACCAATCCTGCATTTACTTTCTAGGTAAAAATGAAAACTGTATTTCCCAGACTCCCTTGTACTTTGGCCTGAACTAGCCACAGGGCCCTAGCCTATGTAACATGGGCAAAAATGATACATCTACTTCTAAGCTTAGCTCCTAGAATCTCCAGAAAGATCCATAGCCCCTCCTTCTCTCTCGACTTGCCAACAGGCACAGAGGACTCGAAGGCAGCAGGAGGACAGTGGCGCCACAAGACAAAAGTTTACAATCCCTAAGTCAGCGCTTGAAGAATAGCTGAATCCTTAAAACACCATTTTGTGAAGGATCGACCTGGACAGCTGCCCAACCCGACTCCCCCATTTGACCCTCACTCCTCTCTGAGAAAGCCGAGTGAGAAACTTTTATTAAATTCACACACTGAGATTTCTGAGGTCGTAACACACCCCAAACACATCTCTTCTATCTCAGAGAGTACAAATCCAAACGAGATAGAAGAAATAAAATTTTTATCAGGATGAAGTTTTATAACATGGCAAAGATAATACTAATGGAATTCAAACCAGATTAAAGACTATGCAGTTTTTCAAAAACTACAGATCTACAGCACTAATAACAATATATAAATCTTACCTAATAAGAGCCAGAAAACTAGTCAATTTTTTCATATTAAAAATTACCAGGCTGCTAATTTACAAGCAAAAATTGCTTATTTCTTCAAGGTATTTAATTCTTTAGGAAAGTGGCAGGATTACTCATTAAAACAAAATAATAGAGTCAAGTGCCACTTCAAACACTCCATTCCAAAAGAGGAAGAGGTAGATGAGACACGGACAAAAATTAATTTATAGGATATAAAAAGAGAAGCCATAATGGTGAAAAATATAAACATTTATTTATAATTTAAAGATATTTACTACTGAAATAAGTATGAAGATGATATATACAGAAACGAAAAGAAGCTTCTTCCGTCAGACTCATAATTAATTAAGTCATGTGGTTAATACACACACAGGTTAATACACATCTATTCACCTGAATAGTTCTATTAAATAGTTCTATTCAATATGGTAACTCCCAAGCCATCCTACACTATTCATAATTTAAAAGTCCTCATGAGCCTCTTCCCTTAAATTCCTTTAAGCATTTTATAGCCAATAAGAATGGCCTCAGGTATTTCTTTCAACTCAGCAGCATCAAATGGTTTAAAATGCAAACTGTTATTTCTAATCAATAAATATTTATATAAGCAATCTATAAGGAATTTTAGATTTTCTCAATATTAAGTTTCTAAAATTATCACAAAAGGTTGATAAAACAATAATTATCCCAAAATGGTAAAGTTAATTATCTTATTCAATAGAGTTAGGAAACAAGATTTAGCAATTTGGTTTCATAACCTAAAAATTTCAGAATTAACATTAAAGAAAGGTAGATGATCTTAAAAACACAAAACAGGGAGGAAATGTGACTATAGAAGAAAAGTAACTATTACTAGAAAATTCTGATTGGTACCCTTAGAACCTGATTTGGAATTTGAGAGAGCATTAATTAAAATTTAATGTTTACAAAAGTAAATCAAGAATATTAAAAAAATCAACTTCATATTTATTTTTAAAGGTTGAACTCAAATTAGTGTGTATATTTGACACATACTTGTCAAAAAGTGAAGATTTAAAAATACATTATTCTAATATTAACAGAGAAGAGAATCAGATTTTAAGTCTTTCAGTTTCTGCCTGTGAATGTCTTATAGAAATAAATGAAAAAAGCAAGTTATGTACAAACATGGAAATTGTCTATACAGTTAAATGGGACAAAATTGCTAAGATCTTTACAGCCAAAAGAGAACTAGAAGTTTCATGGGAGACTCATCATAAATGTCTAGAAATGTGCAATGTATTTTATCTATTTTATTAATTCAGATTCCATTTATTTAGATTAATAATAATTTGCTCAGCTGATGTTTACTCTTTCATGATCTATGGCAAAGGGTTTTTGCTAAGCAAAAAAAAAAAAGTAAACAAGATTACACAAAGCAAAACAAGTAATCTAGTTATAGATTAGTGGTGGGGAAGGTCTGTCCCACAGGCCATATAAGGCCCTTGAAATCATTTGGTCTGGCCCTACCAAGGCATTAGGAGTGAACTTATTAAATATTTGACCGAACAGAGCAGGCTAATTTTTAAGTTGATAATTTTGTATGGCCCGCAAATTATGTCATAAATATCCAAATGGCCTTTGTCAGAAAAAAGGTTCCCCACCCGTTATAGATGATTGATTTATTCACTTATAAATAGCTCTGATAGACGCTTTCAACTTTACTAAAACTTCAGTCATTATTTATTTTGCTAATAAAATATACACTCTCAAATAGCTGATCTCATACTTTACACACACACTTTAAGCAATCTGAATAATATTTTCTATATTTAAACACTAGTATGGACAAAGTATAAGCATACAAAGGAAGAATATAAATAATTAAAACTGGAAAATAAATTCTATGGAGAAAATTTAAGGGTTTTTTTTGATAGAATGGTCCTGAATTAAAGGCTTATTATTTATCTTGCAGAACACAAAATCATTAGAAAGAGCTATCCATTGTTTCCTAACTTCTAAAGGTCTAAACAAAAGACTCAATAACAGAATTTGGTTATTTATTGGAGATGAGTTATTGGAGTAAAATTATAGTCATGGTACCAAAACTATAACTCACCTTTCATAATTACATACGATTTTGGCATGTATTTCTGCATGCAGAGTTTTCCTGATTTTGCCACCCTATATCTCCTATACTTCTTTACTTTTGATTTTATTGTTTTACTGTACAAATTTCAGCGAAGCAACTTAGCTCCTTTGTAAAGGAATGAGGACAGTAGTAAGCTTATAGTGCAGTAGACAAAATTAAATCCTACAAAATTCTTCACCCCCCCCTTATTAAATTAAGGTTCAAAATTCTCTGCGGTAAAAGAACCCCTAACTCCAGTGATGGCGAACCTATGACACGCGAACTCATTTTTTTGGTTGATTTTTCTTTGTTAAATGGCATTTAAATATATAAAATAAATATCAAAAATATAAGTCTTTGTTTTACTATGGTTGCAGATATCAAAAAATTTCTATATGTGACACAGCACCAGAGTTAAGTTAGGGTTTTTCAAAATGCTGACACGTCAAGCTCAAAAGGTTCGCCATCACTGCCTAACTCATAGTAAACTCTCAACTGAGTCACTAATAATAGGTCATGTGGAAATATTTAAGCACTGCAATTTATAGTCTCACTAGAGGCCCGGTGCACGAAATTCGTGCACTGGGGATGGGTGGGGGGTCCCTTAGCCCAGCATGTGCCCTCTTGCAGTCCGGGACCCCTCCCTTGTTACTGCCCACCTGCTTGCTGCTTCCTACCGCTTGGCTTGCTGCTCCTTAGTTCTGCCACGAAGGCCTTGGGTCTGCTGGGTGCCGGGCCTGCGGGTTTGTGTCTCTGATACCCACAGCAGCCCCAGCACCAAGGTGGCGGGCCTTGGGGCTGCTGGGTACAGGCCCCCCGTTGCGTGTTTGTGTCTTCTATCAGGCCCCCAGCAGCCCCAGCACCACCTAAATAACTTAAGGGAAACTTTATTTAGTCTTCTTTTAAAAGCAATCTAGTTTAAAAATGAGTTGCAGTTAAGACAGAACAAAGAACATGGTACCTAAGAGTGAGATAGACTGACAGAGGAGAGGTTGGGCACTGGTCAGGGGCTTACATGCCAACTGTTCTCCACCTGGGAAATGATGTAAAATCGGTTTCTTTAGTTTTCTGCTTAATGCTCTTCTCCAGCACTGAGGTCAGAGGAGCCGCCTTCTAGCCCGTAGGCTGCTTCTCAGAGTCGAAATTTTCGCCATAGGCCTCTGCCTAGGACAGGACCTCTGAACCCCCAGGGTGCATAAACACACAGGGCTTCCATCAGGCTCTGCTGATCCCGGGGCGGGAGGCCTCTCGGCTCCCCTGATCCCGGGGCTGGGAGGCCTCTCGGCTCCGCTGATCCAGGTGGCCGGGAGGCCTCTCGGCTCTGCTGATCCCGGGCGGGAGGCCGCTTGGCTCCGCTGATCGGGCCTGGCTGCCGGCCGCCATCTTGGCTGACAGTTAATTTGCATATACTCACTGATTAGCCAATGAAAAGGGTAGCGGTCGTTCGCCAATTACCATGTTTCTCTTTTATTAGTGTAGATTCTTTTGTTGACAAACCTTTAAAAAAGGTAACTAGAAAAGTTATGTGGTATTTTCAGTGGCCAGGACAAAAAGGGACAGGGAAGGGGGGTTGGTGGTACCGAACTCTTGACCATGACCCTATTACCTCTGTGTTAAACAGGTAAACTAGGAATATCTCAAGAAAAATAAGGAAGTTAGATTTTTTTCATAACTTTCCTTTGTCATGTTTTTAGAAAATAGGAATTACCATTTAACTATCTAGGAAGTTAATCAGTCTGGTAAATTAAACAGAGATTTGAAAGTGCTACTCACAATCAGCCTATACTTGACTTACCTGCCATTACAGAGTAGCCATCTAGCAAGAGAATAGTGAGGTATAATCTTCTGCATGAGGCTGGCCATCACCATGGTAACAACCAGCTGTATACCTATCACACCCTGTGTAAAAAAAAAAAAAATTTAACAATAAATGAAGTTAGATTTGAGAACAAAATGGAAAACTTTCTATCCACTTTGACAATGATACTCTAAGAAAGAGGAGTTGCTATTAAAATATGTATTAATCTGGCATTTAGGCATTCAAGACCACATATGTTTAAACTTAAAACATGCAATCACATCTTATAATCCTCTATGAGTTACCCAAGTTTCACATCCAAGTAAACAAAAGTTAAATGAATTAGCATATACATTCAAAATATATTCCCAAGAAATGTTCTCCATTATGTAAGGGTATCAAAATGAAGTAAAATTAGTAATATTTTATCCTTCTCCAAATTCACTGTTCAATACACATAAAATACCAGCTTGCCACGCTTTCAAAGCAGTATGCCTATTTTTTTATTCTACAGTGGTAGTGAACGATTAGAGTATTAATTATATTAAGTGTGATATGTCAAGATTGGCCTGAAAGTCACTAGAAAATAATTTTAATTCATGCTGTCATCACGAACTTCCAGTGAGTGGGCCTTCAACAGCATCCAAAAACCCATTAGTTTGGTCTCATCAATCCCTCTCCTGTTCTCCATGATAGCTAAAATTCAAACCTCCGCCCCTCTTCACACCTCCAACCTGCCTCAAACTTGTAACTCTCCAGTTCACAGAGGACATGTATTTCACAGAGAAAATACACAACATCAAATGTGAACTCTCACTTGCCACCAAGCTCACAATCACTTGTATCTAATACTCTAGATTTTTTCCACACCCACCAGAAATAGAGCATTTCTACACAAAGCAAATCCCTACATCTGTGCTTCATATCCCATCCTCTCTTTGATTTTCAGGAACCTCAACCACTGAGTAGCTTCCTTCCTGCATCTTCTTTAATCTCTTCTCTATTTAAATCCTTGCTATCAGCACTGCAACACCTCCAAGTCTTTTTATCTTTCCAAAAAATATAACTATTTTCCTTTATAGTCTTCCTGTCTCCTCAGATTCACAACCACTTTTCAAAAGACTTATTCTCACTGCTTCTACTACATTCTCATACCTCCCCATAGTTAACATCTGACTTCTGCTTCATTTCATTCCACTGAAACACCTACCATCAAAATCACCTTGCCAAATTATATTTCCTTATCTTAAATATCAGCAATTTCCCACAAGGTCTTCCACATCCATCGCTTTACTCCCGCCTTGATGATCAATTTTTTATACTCCCTTTTGGTGGCATCTCTATCCTAGCAGTCCAAAAATAAGGTTGAATTCTGACCTCAAACTTAATTTACCAAACAAGTACATAAAAAATATGTTTAAAAAGCAGAATAGCATATTTTGAGAGCATGAATTCTGGACCCAAACCACCTGGGTTAGAATTCACCATCTATTAGTTGTTTGATTTTGAACAGGTAATTTAAATATTTTGTACCAGTTTCCTTTTCTATAAAATGAAGCTAATAATTCAATCTATCTAATCAAGCTGTGATTAGGAATAGTGCCTGGCACAGAGTAAGAAATCAATGGGTTACTACTATTTGCTGTTATTGCTATAGTTATCACTATTATTATAGGAAAACATTTGTTTTTAACATAAAGAATAAAGTCTTTAAAAAATATCAGTCTAAGAAATAAGTTGAAAAAAATTAAATTTCACTGTAACAAATGTACTACTGTGGTGTAGGATGTCCATAGTGGGGAAGGTTTTGCAGATGTAAGGACAGGGGTATATAGAAACTCCCTGTATTTTCCAATTTATTTTGCTGTAAACCTAAAACTGTTCTTAAAAATGAAGTTCATTAATTTAAAAAAAATCAAAGTTCTACATGAGGAATCAATATAAAAAATGTCAAATATTAACTAGAAAAAACCATTTGTAACTCACATCTCAAATGGATATTGTATTTACTAGATATAATATAGCGTTCTCATCAATCAATTAGCAAAAATCCCAATGCCCAATTAAAAGAGAACAAATACGTACAAAGAGTTGTCAAAAAAAAAAAAAAGTAAAAATGGCTCTTAAACAGGACTGTTTTTTAAATGTCTTTGAAACCTACCTCAACTATGGTGTTACTGTGGCTATTTTAATATTTTAAATTTTACCAATGCGGTTAAGGTTCAAACCACTTTTATATTCACCTAACATCAAAGACATTTTTTCTTTCACATCACTCAAATTGACTATCCCATTTTTTTTTATGCTGAGGAAATAACATGTATATTTTAAACCAGTATAATGTGATATTTATTTATTTTTATTGAATTTATTGGGAAATCATATAGGTTTCAGATGTACGATTCTATAATACATCAACTCTATATTGTATTGTGTATTCACCAGCTCACGTCAAGTCTCCTATTTAGCACAATGACAATTAAAATAGGTCAAGGCACATAGTAGAGCACTTTACTATATGTTGGCTAAAGAATGAATGAATGGCATTATTACAAAAGAATCTGTCTTAACAGAATATGAAAATCTAAGATTATCTAAGATTATCATACTAGGTAACAATAAATACATATATTAAGACAATATTGCAACCCAATTTCAAATGAACAAAGGGTTATAGAAATTTAAAAATTTGGATATGAAAGTTTTATAGAGTAGATGAAGGTAGAAATTTAAATCACATAGATGGCAAAGTAAAAGAAAAGGAATTCCAGGCTAAATGACAAATGTGAACATACAGTAACCATAGAACAGCAAAAAGTCTAGTTCAACCAAAACAGACATTAGTATATGGCAAAGAATTACAAGAAATAGGATAAAAGAATTTTACATTGTCCAGTCTTTTTTAAAATTTATTTTATTTTATTGATTTCGGAGAAGAGATAGAAACATCAATGAGAGAGAATCACTGATCGGCTGCCTTCTGCATGCCCCCCACTCAGGATGGAGCCCAAAAACCAGGCATGTCCCCTGACTGGGAATGGAACCGTGACCTCTTGGTTCATAGATCAAAGCTCAACCACTACTCCAGGCTGGCCAGGCAGAGTGTTGAGTCTTTAAAACCAAGAGGACACATTTAGCAGATGTGTTTAAAAAGATGACCTTGAAAACTTTTAAACAGGTAAGGGTAGGAAGATGAAATAATGCAAGTAACATATAAGGAAACTTAGAACAATACATTGATCAATTGAAGAGAAAACCTAAGACTAAGGTAGAAGTGATTGAAACTAGAAAGGAAAGAACAAAGATAAAAGTCCGTCAAAAGAAAATCAATCAAACTTTGAGTGTGACTGAACATGAAGGAAAATAGTTGTAGAATAAAACTGAGGAACGCCTCAAAGTTTATTTCAGGATGTTTTAGTTTGGGTGACTGGTAGAATCCTAGAACCACTGACAGAATAGTTGTAAACTGAAGGAAACTCAAGGAAATAAACTAGCAAGACTCAGACAGGCTTTTCAAGGACAGGACCTTGGCTGCATCCTCAACTTTTCAGAATACACAGAAAACATGCTTTGCTGGTACAATCAATCTACATGAGATAGACTGGCAATGATAAGGCAAGAGCTGTATTCATTTACAGTAAAACAAACTACCAAGTGGATCAGTGTTCAAATTCACTAAGTGTTCCATTCAATTACTGTCTTAATGACACACTTAAAGTCAAATTAGTAGCAGGCTGAGAGGTGAGTAGTGATTTAGAGCAAAAGGTAACATGGAGAGGCATTTCATTCAGGCAGTACTGAAGTCTGAAGTCTAGAGCAGCAATTTTCAATCTTTTTCATTTCATGTCACACATAAACTAATTACAAAAATTCTGTGGCGCACCAAAAATTATATATTTTTTGCCAATCTGAAAAAAAAGGTATAATTTCCCTGACTAAATAGTCAGGTTTTGCATGTTTTAAAAATTCTTATGGCACACCAGTTGAAAATCACTGCTCCAGAGTGTAAAATATTCCCACCTCTAAATAGTTCTGGATAAATATGTTTTAAATTCTAGCTATTTAAACTGTTTTTCTAAACTTTCAACTAACAAAATTATTCTCCAATTGATACTCTTTTTTAGACAAATACCTATCTAAAAATTATTCTATCTTCTGATATGTAGATACCACTGATATGGCTATAATATGATTAGGCATGGGAACCAATTTAAGTTCAAGATGAGAAGACAACTCATTTCTCTCCATCATGCACTGGTTTTATCAAATATTAAAGTGTTAACTACCCCTCACTGCCACCTACAAATAACATGTGATAAGTGGTATCACAGAGGTCAGTCCATTGTTATGGGAGCACTCCAAGAAAGGAAGTAATTAAATCTATGTGGGAGCCCGGCCAAGGTGCCTCAGTGGTTGAGTGTCAACCTATTATGAATCAGGAGGTCATGGTTTGATTCCTGGTCAGCGCATATGCCATACCTGGGTTCTGGTTCAATCTCTAGTGGGGAGCATGCAGGAGGCAGCCAATCTCTCATCATTGATGTTTCTCTCTCTCCCTCCCTCTCCCTTCCTCTCTGAAATCAATAAAAATCTATTTTTAAAATAGATAGATAGATGATAGATAGATCGATCTGCCTGGGAGAGCTGGGAATGTCTGGTTCAGAGGTGACATTTGAACCAAGTTTACAAGGTTAAAGAAGTAGCCCTCTCACAGACAGAAAAGGAAGATATGTTTAGACATATTTACTCAAAGAGAATAAATGTCATGATCCAAAGTAATGAGTGATCCCACCTGGCTAGATTTTGGTTGAGTTCCACCCAATGAACTTTTCTGCAGGTACTTAGAAATAAGTAATAATTAATTTCTCTAACACTATTTCAGATGTAATATTAGTTATTAACTGGATTGGGAAAGATTTTCTAGAAATATAATAATCAGAAACTATATTATTTCTACAGAAAAATATTTTTTAAATTCAATTTTTTCATATGTTGAAACTTACCAAAGATAAATAATAAGACTGGCACAAAAGTACAGTTACAGTGTCCAAACAGTCTGGGTTAAAATTAATTCCACTAGCTGTATGACTTTGGATGAGTT